CTGGTATGACCGGCTATGTCAAGCTTAGACGAGCTGTGACCAGCTTAGCCCAGCGGTCCGAGTGTTTCCACTCGGATCCCCACATGACGTTGTGTCACAATGTGACTCAGTCGGGTGTTAAGGTAAATCTTGGGTAACAGTTTAAACAAGTGGTACTTGAGATGTGTATTATCTTTATTTGTTCTACTCTGCTGCGACAATAGAACCTCTTAACTGCTGTTGTTGCTGGGTTCAACTTGACCAGGGGGGGGGTAGCACCTGTTAAGGTCCCAAATGGTGAAAAAATAACCCACATTGAAAGCATAAAAAAAATTATAGAATGACCAACAATAGATTTTATCTGTAGTTGAACGCATAAAATTAAGTTTAAAATATATTTAGTTGAAGCCATAAAATTGTGTTAAACATATTTACGTTCAGCATACTTCTGTAGAAACACATTTCTGTTGCTTCAAGTCTCTTCTTCCTCTTTGAAGATATTGTCTAGCATTCACTATACAGTAGGACAGATATCACGTGACAGTTCAGTGCTGTTTTCTTTGTTATTTTCTACCTCTTAATACTCTGATTAAATAACCCATAGAGGTTGATAGATTTTGATAGACAAAATCTAGCAACCATGCGACAACGAAAAATTGTCCTTCAAGAAAGATAGCAAAGAGCCGATTATTTTCTGGGTAACATCTGTAATCCTGTGATGCCGTAGGCCGGCACACTTTCAACAGAGCAGACGTAGAAGGTCCTCATCATATCCCTTTGTCAATTTTATTTTTTCACTGAGAATTTTCAGTAAACAGAGTCGATGCCGATGTGTTTTCTTGATTAATGGGATGATTTTGCTTGTCCAGATGATATTTTCTGCAATGCACGCACCCGGAAACGTAATTTTATCTAACCTCTCCGTAAAAAGAAATCATCAGTTCATTGGAAAATGAAGTCAAACTTAAAGAAAAATGTTGTTAGGCTCAAATACGAATAACTTAAGTAAATGAATGACAAAGTGGAAAGAAATCTGTGTAACGTGTTCCACTCTCTGAAAAAACTTTATCAGCCTAAAGTAATGCTTTTTTTTAAGCATATCACCCCAAGCAAGGCGGGAGTGCCATTAGCACGCAAGGGGTTACAGTATTGAGAGCAAGAGTAAAGAGGGTTGTTTGAGGAAAGGATATAGAGAAGGACGGGGATCAAGATCAAGGCATCAAATGTCGATTGATATTACATTTGAATATTTGGAGATTATAGTTATCAGGGAAGCAAGTAAGAGGAAGGGAGTTCCACTGACGGGAAGTGCGAGATAAGAAGCTGTTGGAGTAGAAGCGACTGGTTGCGAACGGAAACGAAATGTGTATACAACCGAAATCCAAGGAAATAATAATAATAATAATAATAATAATAATAATGATAATAATTGTACTCATACAACGAAGAGCTTTATCTATGTAAAATATATATGATCTTAGTTTCATTTTGTTTTTAAAATGATCAGTGGAAAATGTCGAAAAGACATTTTTGACTTAAGGTCTGTGATTGGGACCCGGAAAGAAATGTATCTATAACCGAAACCAAGGAAATAATAATAATAATAATAATAATAATAATAATGAAGATGATGATGTAGACAAAACTCATACCCATTAGTGGTTACGTAGCGTAGAATTAAAAGCTGAAACTGGAGGATTTATTCTTGCTGCATAGGACCAATTTTTGCTAACAAGAAATTCGTAAGAAAAAAAATGAAAAATTGCGTATTTTGTAATCATTTCACCCCACGTAAAGCGGGAATAACAATAGTAGGCAGGGTGCTACATATGTAAGTGAAAGTGAGTGAAGCGGGGTATTCAAGAAAGGATAAAAGATGAACGGGGTTCAAGAAGACAGAAGATGTTGCATTTAAATCCCGAAATGCAGATTCTGTGCTGAATATCCAGAAACAATTGACCATATTGTATCTGGTTGCACGGTATTAGCAATCACTATAAACTTCGGCAATATCGACAATGAACAATCTGTAATTTTTACAGAATCGAAACTGAAAGGAATTGGTATGAACAGCACCCAGACTCGTAACAGACTTGTAACATTTGTATGCGACTTTACAATACACACAGAGACAGAACAATCAAAGGTAATCGCCCAGTCATGGCGTTCAAAGGCCAGGAAAATACAATGTGCCTTCGTATTGACATGTCAGTCATTGTAGATTGCAATGGATCTTTGAAGACCTTTAGTAAAGTTTCAAAATACAAATATTGTGAAGTGGAGATCTCAACAATGTGGCACATGAAAACATCAATAATTCCAGTTGGAGTGAACTCTCGGTTTGATTGGAAAAGTTTCTGATAGACTCATTGAAGCTGTTTCTGGTAGCTCATGTCTTTAAAAAATATAAAAAAAAATTGTTCAGACAAGTACAGCTCACACATTACAAAAGGCTTTATGCATGTAAAAAGTTTTTGATTTACGTTGTTTTATTTTGATTTTTTTCAGAAAAAATTTCCAGTGAAAATGTCATGATGCCATATCAAACCTTAAATCTTTGGTTGGGACCAAGAAGGTAATGAGTATACAACTGAAATCAGAAATAATAATAATAATAATAATAATAATAATAATAAACAATTGATCATCTTGTATCCGTTTGCACGATATTGGAACCCACTGAATATAAAACCCGACATGACAGAGTGGGCCAATATCTGCACTGGAAAATCTGCAACTTCTACTGGAAGGAAACTGAAAGAAACTGGTATGAACACCACCCAGACCCGGTTACGGAGATAGGACCTGTTACAATTCTATGGGATTACTCAATACACACTGACAGAACAATCAAGGCCAACCGCCCAGATATTGTTATTAAAGACCACAAACAAAAACGGTGCCTCCTTATTGACATGCCCAATGTATCTTTGAAGATATTCAAAAAGCTGTCAAAATAGAAGAATCTTGAAATAGAAATCTTAAAAATGTGGCACATGGGAACATCAACAATCCCTGTTGTAGTTGGAGCCCTCGGATTGGTTCAGGAAGATTCCAGTAGACTAATTGAAGGGATTCCTGGAAGTCCATGCCTCAAGGAAATACAAAAAATTGTTCTGACAAGTACAGCTCACACTTTACGAAGGGCTTTATCTATGTATTTTTTTTTGTAAGTGGAAAGTATGATGATGCCATTTCTAACCTTAGGTCCCTGGGCGGGACACGGAAAGAAATGTGTAAACGCCAGAAATCAAAGAAAATAATAATAATAATAATAATAATAATCTTGTATTAGGTTGCAAAAGTAATAATAATAATAATCATCTTGTATTAGGTTGCACGATATTGGCACACACTGAGTATAAAACCCGACATGACAGAGTGGGCCAATATCTGCACTGGAAAATCTGCAACTTCTACGCGAAGGAAACTGAAAGAAAGTTGTATGAACATCATCCAGACCCGGTTACAGAGATAGGACCTGTTACAATTCGATGGGACTATACAATACACGCTGACAGAACAATCAAAGCTTACCGAACAGATATTGTTATTAGAGATCGCACACAAAAAAATGCCTCTTTATTGTACACTATTTACATTATTCGGACTATTGTCCTCATCTTGTCGCCATATTCATTACAACGTTTCGGCCGTGGTACGCTCCGGCTATCTTCAGGTGGTTGTAATGTCGAACTTAACCCTTTATTTCGGTAGGCTGCTCTAGTTCCACGTGCCATGTTTAATGGATGTCAGTCATCAGTTATCTCCTGTTAATTCCCCTCTCCAAGTTCTCCACTGCCTTAACCGGGTATTGAACTCCCACTCTTTGGGTCCTGTCACTGGATCTAACCAACGCTTTTATCCACTATGCCATGTGTCCTTTGTCAGTGGAAAATGTCATGATGCCATTTCTAACGTTAGGTCTCTGGTCGGGACCCGGAAAGAAATGTGTACATACCAGAAATCAATGGAAATAAATTAATAATGATAGTGTTGTTGGTCCGGAGTCTGTCTTGTGACTTGGCAGATATCTTAATGTATTTGGTGTATCCAAGAACGTAAACTGTGTGTGAAAGCATAATAATAATGACGATGATGATGATGATTATGACGACGATGATAATGATTATGATGGCGATGATGATGATGACGACGATGATGATGATGATGACGACGATGATGATGATGATGATGATGACGATGATGATGATGACGACGATGATAATGATGACGACGATGATGTCGATGATGACGATGATTGATGATGACGATGATTGATGATGACGATGATGATGACGACGATGATGATGATGACGATGATGATGATGACGACGATGATAATGACGACGATGATGATGTCGATGATGACGATGATTGATGATGACGATGATGATGACGACGATGATAATGATGACGATGATGATGATGTCGATGATGATGATGACGACGATGATGACGATGATGACGACGACGATGATGATGATGATGATGATGACGACGACGATGATGATGATGATGATGATGATGATGATGATGATGAACTGAAAATAATCGGAGGATATTTGACCAGTACTTGACAGGGGAAATACGCGGGAATTTTTAGAATCCTTCGACATTTCATTAAAATTAAGAGCGAGCAGGAAGCTTCCCAATTTCCTTATTGTTACAATAATGGAATGCGTAACCAAAGACAAAACAAATATTGGGTAAATGAGAAAGAAGACGGAAGAATAATGGAAGAAAAATGAAAAAAAATAATTAAAATGAAAAAGAGGGAGAAAAAATAAAAGAAAAAAAGAAAAAGTCAAAGACAAAACAAAATGAAAAAAAGAAAGAAGAAAATGATAAAACATAAAATTCATTGAAAAGGTATGAAACTGAGTAAAAAAGAAAGAAAAAAGAAAGAAGGAATGAAAATGAGAGGGAATAAGAATGTGTAAAATGACAAAGAAGAAAGAAAGGAAGGAAGAAAGAAAGAAAGAAAGATTTATAAAGAGGAAGAAAGAAAGAAAATAAACCTATAAGAAAGAAAGAAAGAAAGAAAGAAAGAAAGAAAGAAAGAAAGAGTCATAAGGAGGGGAAAAGAAAGCGATATAAAGAGTAGGAAGGTAAGAAAGAAAAAAGAAATCTATAAGAAAGAAAGAAAGAAAGAAAGAAAGAAAGAAAGATTTATAAAGAGGAAAAAAGAAAGAAAATAAACCTATAAGAAAGAAAGAAAGAAAGAAAGAAAGAAAGAGTCATAAGGAGGAGAAAAGAAAGCGATATAAAGAGTAGGAAGGTAAGAAAGAAAAAAGAAATCTATAAGAAAGAAAGAAAGAAAGAAAGAAAGATTTATAAAGAGGAAGAAAGAAAGAAAATAAACCTATAAGAAAGAAAGAAAGAAAGAAAGAAAGAAAGAAAGAATGAAAGAAAGAAAGAAAGAGTCATAAGGAGGAGAAAAGAAAGCGATATAAAGAGTAGGAAGGTAAGAAAGAAAAAAGAAATCTATAAGAAAGACAGAAAGAAAGAAAGAAAGAACGAATGGCAGAACGAAAAAAGAAAGAAAGAAAGGTAGGAAGGAAGAATAAAAGAACGAAAAAAGAAAGAACGAAAAGAAGGAAGGAAAAAGTAAGAAAGAATGGCAGAACGAAAAAAGAAAGAAAGGTAGAAAGGAAGAAAGAAAGGAGGAACGAAAAAAGAAAGATAGAAAAAAGTGTCGAATTCTCCAAGCCTTCTTTTCTCATTATGTACCGTAGAAATTTGAACTGCCTCTTCCTGATTCTAAGTATAATGCAATTTTTCCCATTTTGTCTAAAATTTCCTCGCTGCTTTCCTCTGCTTCTCGTGAATACCACATGTCCTGTGAGTGTCGAATTCTCCAAGCCTTCTTTTCTCATTATGTACCGTAGAAATGTTAATTGTCACTTTCTGATTTACTCACATGTTCAGGGAAGTGATTCCCAGCACTCTTCTGTAGATCAACATTTACTTTGCGTTATGTCAGTGTTGTAAGTGTTTAGCAACCCCGTAGGATAAAAGCTAACACATATCAAAGGACAGACGAAGACTTTACGTGTCAACGGCCAGCACACTGTCTTAAAATCATCGTGGATAAGACAACGGGAAACTACTCCACAACCAATCCCAAGGTCATTCATGGTTCTAGACAATATTTGCCTTCATGATGGAAACAACTAGAATAGAAAGGAAGACAAAAAGTACAGAGAAAAAGAGGAGAAAAATAGGAAGCGGAAAAGAAAGCAAGAATTAGAAGAGAAGAAAAAAGTGAGAGAGAGGGAGAGAGGGGGGAGTAAGTGTCGAAGACAATTATGGGAGAAGAATCGAAAGAAAGAATTAGACTGGGAGGATGAGAGAAAGAGAATGAGTAAGACAGTTATAAGAGAATAGGAGGAAGATGCAAAGGTAAGATATAAGAAAGAAAGAAAACGATGGGAAAAGAGATGGAAAAAGGGGGTTTGAGATAATCAAACGAAAGAAAGAAAGTACGAGCCGTAAGACAATAGGAAGAGAGAGAAGAAAGAAAATTTGAAAGGAGGAGAGGCAATGAATGTAAGGCAATAGGAGAGAGGGAGAAAAAAGATTGAGAGAGAAGACAGAATGACACTGAATGGAAAGGAGAAATAAAGGAAGGAGTATGAGGCAACCAGAAGAGAGAGAAGAAGGAAAGAAAGGAAGAAAGAAAATGTAGAGTGTAAGACAATCAGAAGAAGCTGGAAGAAAGAAAGAATTTCGAAGAAAGAAAGACCTTGAGAATTGTAAAAAATCGAGAGAGAGAGAGAGAGAGAGAGAGAGAGAGAGAAGAAAGATCGACAAAGAAAATAGAAGAGAGAAAGAATTAAAAGGAAAAGAAAAAAAGAAAGAGAACAGAAGATATATATATATATATATATATATATATATATATATATATATATATATAGATAGAGAGAGAGAGAGAGAGATAGCGAGAAAAAGTGTGGCCAGAGAGAGAAAAGAAACAGGCAGACAGACAAAGAGAGGAGAGAAAGCAGAAAGAAATAATTGGAAAGGGAAGAAAGAACTGCGTCGCAGGAAGAGTGAGAAAAAAGATCACCAGAGAATATAGAAGAAAGAATTAGAAAAGGAGAAAGAAAGAGAACGTGTAAGATGAACAAAACAGATAGATAGATAGAGAGAGAGAGAGAGAGAGAGAGAGAGAGAGAGAGAGAGAGAGAGTGAATGAGTGAGTGAGTGAGTGAGAGAGCGATAGAAGAAAGGTCGAAAAAGAAGATAGAATAAAGAAAGAAAGAATTAGAAGCCGAGAAAGAAAGACAACGTGTAGGATAACCAGAATATATAGATCGGTAAAAATAGATAGATAGATAGATAGAGAGAGAGAGAGAGAGAGAGAGAGAGAGAGGGGGAGAGAGAGGGAAAGAGAGAGAGACATACACAGACAGATAGACAGAGGAGAGAAAGCATAATTGGAAGGGGAAGAAAGAAAGTGAAACGTGTCAGACAATACGGAGGAAGAGTGAGAAAACAGATCGCCAAAGAAGATAGAAGAAAGAAGGAAAGAATTAGAAAGGGGGAAAGAAACAGAAGGTGTAAAATAAACAAAAGAGATAGATAGATAGATAGATAGATAGAAAGAGAGAGAGAGAGAGAGAGAGAAAGAGAGATAGAATAAACATCGAAAAAGAAGATAGGAACAAGAAAGAAAGAATTAGAAGGGGAGAAAGAAAGAGAATGTGTAGGATAACCAGAATATATATATATATATATATATATAGAGAGAGAGAGAGAGAGATAGATAGATAGATAAATAGACACAGAGAGAGAGAGAGAGAGAGAGAGGTGGGGGAGAGAGCTACAGAAGAAAGTCGAGAAAGATGATGGGGTAAAGTAGATGTTGTGAAAAAAGACTAAGGCAATAAAGAAGAAAGGTGGATGCAAAAAAGGCAAGCAAAGAAAGAGAGAGAAAAAAAAAGCGGGAATAAAAATAAAACCAATGAAATAAAAAGAAAACGATTGTAAGGCAAAAAGGAAGTGGAGTGAAAAGACAAGAAATACAATGAATGCAAAGCAAAGACACAACATCTAAACCCAGACACTAAGCCATTGTGGGTTGCTCTCGTGGCGCGTGTTGGGGCCTCGAGACATTTCGCGAATCGATCTGGATTTACCACTGAGCTTTGCTGCAGTCATTCAGATTTTTTCGTATCCACAAAAGTCGGGAAGAAACAAAGAATCGGAAGAGATAACAAAAACAAAACAAACACAGAAAAAGAAAAAAAAGAAAAAAAGAAACAGCAACAATAAATGGATTCAGAGTAAAAGAAGACGAGAAAAATAAAAATAATGCCGTATGCAAAAAGATCTTGGCGTAGATTGGACATAAAACAAACACAGAAAATATTTCTCCATGTTTAAAAGATTGAATTAGATGGCAACGACTTATTGCTTCTGGCAGGAGAAACATACATTATTGTAACTATGGTAATAATAATAATAATAATAATAATAATAATAATAATAATAATAATAATAAAACAGAAAAACGAATGAAAGTTTCAAGATTTTAAATCGAATAGTTATTTAATTTCTAAAGCATACAAATTCTATTCTTGAGTTATTGCCTTATAACATCAAAGTAAAACTAGATAAAATGGTTAAAGAACATGTCTCGTAAGCAATTGTTAGTGAGTGACGGTCTCTTAATGTGGTTTAAATAAAACTTGAATCTATTAAAAATTCTTTATTTTATTGAGACTGAACTGAAAATAAGAACCATCGATGCTAAATTTTCAACTTTCTAAAGAGAATCTCTTGTGGATAGGTCCGTGTTCTTGATTTTGACTTTGAATTGATATACAGGTTAGTCAGAAAGTCTTGTAATCAACAAGTAATGGGAACAATAGATGAACAAGTAATACAATAATACAAAGTCCATGTACTGGATTCAGTTTATTCCCATTCATTGACGCTGTCACACATCCAGGAGATCTCTATGAACACTATCATTTTCATGGCACAACATGATCGGCACCGTATCCTGTGTGTTATTTTACGAAGAAGTGCTTTGTTGATTGTTGCAAAGACTCTCCGAAAGGCGTCCTTCAACTGATGGGTATTTTGGGATCGTTCATGTGAAACTCTCTTTTGATAAAACCCCACAGAACGTTGAAATAGAAAAGAATATTCAGGGTGAAAAGGCTTTGATGGACCGATACGATAATAAAACATGGTGCGACTATAAATACCTGGGATGCATTTGATGGGAAAACATCAGCTCGATACGATAGCCATAAATGTTTTGGTATGTATATGTTGGGATATTTTTGTGGGTTTTTCTGTTTATATGTTAGGGTATTTTGGGATGTATATGAGGGTATTTTAGAATGTATATGTGGGGGTATTTCTGGGATGTATATGTGAGGGTATTTCTAGGATGTATATGTGGGGGTATTTCTGAGATGTATATGTGGGAGGTATTTCTGCCGCACCAAGTATATATGGCCAATACGTACATGTTATTTAGTTCTGTCCCATACAATAGAAGTAGTCGTTTGGCCAAATTTTCCTTCTTCTGTATACCGTGTCCCTTCAGGACGGGGGTGATCAAAGCACTCCATAGCTTCCTGCCCTTGGTAGACCATAGTAAAGTTTGTTTTGACTTTAAGTCCTCAGCTTTTTTTCCCCTGAAAGCGACATAATTCTTAATTTTAACATGTCCTCATCCTCACTCTTGCTTTTTCACAAAGCTTCCCTATCATCCAATTTTTCTTCTATGTGCCGTAACCCTTCTAGAAGTGAGCGATCATGGCTCTCACAATTTCCTGTTCTTTGTAGCTGTTCGTAAAGTTTGTATTTATCTCTTAACGCCCATTCTGTTAACCATTTACACAAGTTCGTTAGGTAGGTAGTCCGCTATTTTCATCTGTCCCTCTAGCCTTCAATGCCTTGCGAGTATCATATTTTCCAAGCTCTCTTTCCTTACTCTGTGCCTTAGAAGGTTCGACTGTCTCTTTCTGATATTACGTTTTTGTTTGCATATTGCTCGCTAATAAAGCGTTTCATTTAAGTCTTCTTCTTCTTCTTCTTCTTCTTCTTCTTCTTCTTCTTCTTCTTCTTCTTCTTCTATGTGCCGTGTTCATTCAGGACATTGGCGATTATGGTTCTCCACAATTTCCTGTTTTTTATCGCTCTTAATAACTTTTGTCTATTTGCCATTTCACTAAAACCCTGCCCAGCCAGCCAGCCAGCCAGCCAGGCTCGCCACGTATGTTATGTACTTCTTACCTCTGTTTCTCTTTCCTTCAAAATCTGTGAAATTTCGCTCAAGATGTACCGAGGGCTGCTTGATAAGTAGAGGGCTTCTCCTTTTTCTATGTTCTATTTCCCTTCAGAACGTTGGCAGTCATGGCTCTCCACCACTTCTTTATATGTTGCAGCTCTTATTAACTTTTTTCTTTTTGCCATCTCTCCTGAAACCCTATCCCGTCATCCATTCACTTAAGCTTGCCAGGGAGTTTATGCGTCGTTACTGTCTTCTGTCTCTCTTATCTTCGATCTGTCTTGTGGGTATCAAATTTTCTAAGCCGTCTTTCCTCATTATGTGCCCCGGATTTGATTTATAAAGATAGAAAGTAATAAACAAATGGTAAATCTAATGAAACATTTTCGATCAAATACTTCTTTGATTATTGATGGGCTACAGAGATTGTATCTGTAGAAAGGTGTCGAAACATAAATAACGGCTGGAGTCTTGTTTCCGAGTAGACGTGTTTGTAAGGGCGGCTAGCCAATCCTTGTTGCAAACGCCAACTCAAACAGGTTTGTGTTTCATCATCGCCCACAGAGAAAACGTATGGATGATACTTTAATTATGCTGAACAGATCTTGGGAGATAGTGTAAGACCTGGCTTTAAAAATCGATCAGCAGCTAGATGGGTGACCGCTTCAGAATACCTGGTGATGTAAGCTTAGATGTGCGATTAATGTAATGGATAAAGGTACAGAATTTTTAATCGAGTTTAAATCTACGCGCAAGTTCACTTACGCGCAAATTCACTTGGGAAACTTATGAATCCACCTATTCTTCCCCCCGCTATGGGTTAATTAGTAAGAATTATATCACTAAATTTGATTTCGGCATTAAATAACCTATAGAAGTTGATTTGCCGCCAAAAATCAAAACCAATCAAGTCCACTAACTGCTATAGTTCTTTCTAGTATTTATCGTAGATTCCTTGCAAACATTTTGTTTTGGGAGTATGGAAAGTTAATATCGTGATTCTCGTCAGAATCTGTCTTACACGTTTAGAAATCTACCATTCGTCCGTACATTGAATACTGCTGCCATATCTGGTCTGGTGCTTCTGCTATTCCTTTCGGGGTTCTTGATAAAATCCAAAGAAGTATCTGTAATGTAATTGACCTGACTTGGCATCTCGACTTCAGTCACTTTCTCACCGACGTGACATGGCTTCTCTCTGCCTTTTCTACTAATATCTTCATGGCAACTGCTCTGACAAGTTTTTTTCCCTGTTGCCTCGTCTACTTGAATTTAAGCATACTACTAGATTGGCGTCTGTCTATATTTCTGAGATGACGTATTATGTACATTACTTACATTATTCGGACTATTGTCCTCATCTTTGTCACCATATTTATCACAACGCTCCGGCCTTCTTCTCTGATAAGAGGTGGTTGGAATTTAGAACTGAACCCTTTATTTCGCTCACTGGGATAGACTGTGCCATGTTTGATGGATGTCAGTTATCAGTTATCTCCTGCTAATTTTCCCTCTGAAAGTTCTCCACTGCCTTAACCGGGTATTGAACTCACACTCTTTGGGTCCTGTCACTGGATCTAACCAACGCCTTTATCCACTGTGCCATGTGTCCTTGAGGAGAACTTTGGAGAACACCATTGGAAAATTCGTAAACTTAAGGAATCAGCACATATGCTAGGTCACAAAAATCTCCTGAGCCGACCAAGCATAGAAATAAATACAATATGGGAACCAGTAATAAGGAGTGCCAGAGAAAAGCAATGATAACAACAAAGTTGCAATATGAGCTCTGGTAAAAACATGAAATGATATCAGCAAAAATTGCAATATGAGCACTGGTAAAAAAGGTTGCCGAAGACATTAGGTCTACAATACCCAGAAATTCATACCCAGATGTCCTCAGTGGATAAAGGCGTTGGTTAGATCCAGTGACAGGATCCAAAGAATGTGAGTTCAATCCTCGGTTAAGGCAGTGGAGAACTTTCAGAGGGAAAATAACAGGAGATAACTGATAACTGACATCCATGAAACATGGCACGTGGAACTAGAACAGTTTTCCCCAGTGAGCAAAATAAAGGGTTCAGTTCAATTTCAACCACCTGAAGGAGGCCGGAGCGTACAACGGCCGAAACTTTGTGATAAATATGGCGACA